AGTTTGAGCTGAGCTTCTGAATGGGTGAAGGAGAACGGATAGGAAAGAATGGCAGATGATGGAGTGCCACATGTTGTTAAGAGACAAAGGGGCCAGCGGGAAGACTTCTAATTTATATACCTAATCTGTCATTAGAAATCCTGCTTTGAGATTTTTGGTAAAAGTGCAGGTGTTTGGTAAGTATTTGAATTAAAAAAAAAAATAGACACAAGTGGATGGGCACAGTGGCTCATGCCTGTAATCCCAGCACTTTGGGAGGCTGAGGTGGGCAGATCATGAGGTCAGGAGTTCAAGACCAGCCTGGCCAACATGTGAAACCCCATCTCTACTAAAAAAAAAAAAAAATTAGCCAGGCATGGTGGCAGGCACCTGTAATCCCAGCTACTCAGGAGTCTGAGGCAGGAGAATTTCTTGAACCTGGGAGGCAGAGGTTGCAATGAGCTGAGATTGTGCCACTGTACTCCAGCCTGGATGACAGTGCAAGACCCCGTCTCAAAAAATAAAAATTAAAAAAAATTAAAAAGACACAGGGTCTTGCTCTGTCACTCAGGCTGGAGTGCACCGGTGCAATCATAGCTCGCTGCAGCCTCAAACTGCTGGGCTCAGACCTTCCTGCCTCCACCTTCTGAGTAGCTGAGAGTACAGGCTCACCTGGCTACTGTTTTTATTTTTATAGAGACAAGGTCTTGTTATACTGCCCAGGCTGGTCTCGAACTCCTAGGCTCAAGAGAACCTCCTGCCTTGTCCTCCCAAAATGCTAGGATTACAAGCCTGAGCCACTGAATCTAGCCTAAGTATTCAGATTTTATATATGGGAGGCTTCACTCTTGACCTCTAATTAAGGCCCATAAACTGGCCAGGCACATTGGCTCACACCTGTAATACCAACACTTTGGGAGACCGAGGCAGGCGATCACCTGAGGTCAGGAGTTTGAGACCAGCCCGACCAACATGGTGAAACACCCTCTCTACCAAAAATATAAAAATTAGCTGGGCATGGTGGCATGCGCCTGTAATTGGCTACCTAGGAGACTGAGGTGGGAGAACTGCTTGAACCTGGGAGGCAGAGGTTGCAATGAGCCAAGATTGTGCCACTGCACTCCAGCCTGGAAGATAGAGTGAGACTCTGTCTCAAAAACAAAACAAAACAAAACAAAAACCCATAAACCCTTTCCATCTTCCTTGAGGTCATACTGCTTAGACAAATCTAATTTGAACAAATCTCAAACCTGTGGGGGATTAGAGAAGGGGACACATTTGTTTATTTTTCAAAAGGGTGTTTTCCTGTTTATTCCTAGATCTGCCCAAATCAGTACATTTCAGATTAGTATTTCTGATTCTGATGATAGAAACAGCTGAATTCTGATTTCATTGGTGGTTCACTCCTCCTCCCCTTCCTGGAAGCTGTTCTCTTTCTTCGGATAATATGGGTCTACTTGGAAGTACAGTGGGGATATTGAGGGCTGTAGGTTTTCCTGAGGACTACTTCCTCTGGTCTTCTGCCCTGGAGGTCTGCTCCATCGAGGGGCCAGACTCCAGCCTGAGGTCCCTCTCACTGACTTGACTCTTCTCTCTAGTCCAAATGATAGAAGACACCTACCTTTTTCTCAGGATTACAGAGTAAAGACTTGGCTTTCAGTATGTCATTTTCCACAATGACTTGAAGAAGTGTGTCTGCCTGTTCCAGACTGGGCCCTCCCTCAAGGGACTGCCTAGGTAAGGCACGGAGAGCCATCCCAGCTGGCAGCTCAAGCATGGTTTTACTCAGTATAAAGCAGGGAGGGAGAGGCCAGCTGGTAGGTCTGTGGCTGCCTTCCGCAGGTTCTTGGTTACTGAAGTACAGGGAAGCAGAGGCTTCACACTACTGACTCCCTAGGCAAGGAGTGGCCTCTTCCTATTAGGGAATTATTCATTAATCTTCAGCTGCCTAAACTTCAGGGGAGCAAGCAGTGAGTGTCAAAAATGAGAAGGGAGAAAAATTCTTCTTGTTCAGTGGCTGGTATATGCCAGAGCCTGTACCGTGAGCTTTGGCTGTGTTCATTTGACACTCACAAAAATTCTTAGAAGGAGATAATTATTTTTTTTCTGTTTTATAGGTGAAGAAACAGATGCCCCAAGCGGTACCGTGACTGAGGTCACGGGGCTGGAAATGTGGGATTCAGAGCTAGGTCTCTCTGCCTGTCAAGCCCATGCTGTTCTCGCTGAACCATTCTATTTCCACCTGAGATGGACCCAGAGGGAAAACAAGAGATCAGAACTTGAGGCTGAGGCTGGCGGTGGCGTGGGGGCTTCTTCTGTCCCCTTGAAGAGCTCATCTCCTAAGCAGGGAGAACGTACTTCAGACAGCCTTGCTTGTCTCCCCTTGCATTTTTTTGCTCTCACTTGTCTGCTTCACACTGAGTGATGCCAGACTCTGGCCATGGTTTGCAGGGAACCGGTCAGCATCTCGCCTCACCAGCACCTGGTCGTGAGGAGCCGAGTGATGATGACTTTTTCTCCCCTCACCTGGCTCTGCAAGATTCTCCATGGAGATGCGCTGGGGACCATGCTAGATCCCACACTTTTCATGGCAGCATATCACAGTGCCAGTGCAGTCTTTACAGGGACAATGACCATCACCTTCAAGAGGTCTGTTTTCCTTGCCTGGGTTCAAGTTAGGAGCAAGCTGGTAAGAGATTATTTGATGTATTATGATGGAAAATATGGATGCAGCAATCTTGATTGCAAAGAGAAGTTTCTACTTTTGATTTTCACATGAACTAGTCTAAAATTTTTAGACGTTCCTTTTTCATCCAAGGACAAGGTAACAAGCTTGAAGATGGTTGACGTGTTCAAAAATAAAAATATTCTACATAGGATGATGATGAGCTATTTTTGGCCACCTCTGGTTTAAATAAAGCTAACAAAGTTGCCTGTAAATATTTAACTCAACCCACAAATAATTACACAAATATCATTACTTGTCAGGGACAAGCTGCCCCCCAAAACGCTCTCAGCTGACCTCCACCCTGATTGCTCTGCAGCTGCATTCCTAAACTCTTATCTAGGGGCCGTAGCAAGGCTGCCAGACCCGCCTCGCTGAGCAAAGCCTGATAACAGCCATCTGGGCAGCGCAGGAGAGGTCATGGGAAACAAACCTTTGTTACAGTACAGTAAATTCTTGTTTTACACATACCTGTAAAATCCTGTTTTTTTAACTGCTGCCACAAAAGTCGCAGGATGATGTTAGTCTCTCACAAGCTGATAACCAATTTGTGCTTGTTACAAGCTGATAGATTATCTTAGTCTGGAGACTCCCTTAAGCCCCTCTCACCCCACATAAACCCCTTGTTTTGTAAGTGCAGGGCTGCCTCCTCTGATTGTTACAGCGCAGCCTGGCAGGTCAATAAACTTGCTTGCCTGACTTTAGGTCTACTTGTCCTTTCTCTCGGCTAACCTTACATTACCGTACTTATAATTCCTTATATTTAATTAGCTTTCTAGGAAAACACTTCCATAAACATTCTTTCATTTGATTTTTACAATAATTCTGGGAGGTAGGTAATAACATCTCCAAGTTGAAAATAAGAAAGCCGAGGCGGGCCAGGTATACTGACTCATGCCTGTAATCCCAGCACTTTGGGAGGCCAATGCAGAAAGACTGTTTGAGCCCAGGAGGAGTTCAAGACCAGGCTAGGAAACATGGCAAGATGCCATCTCTACAAAAAA